TCTTTGTGTATATATATATATATATATATATATATATAGTAAGAGAGTCACTTTGTAACAGGAAAACAATTATGTGTACATTTGTATCTTTTCCATCTTTCTCTCTATATCAGTAAATATCTATCCGTCTGTCTGTGTGTCTCTTACAGGTACCTAAACCGTCCTACCGAAAGCGATGAAATTTGGCATACAAATAGTTCAAAGCTCTAGGAATTTCAGTGTCGGAATTTGGACATTCAGCATCTCATCCAAATACCAACACAACGTCACTTACAGGTATCTCCTTCATTTTATCAAATATTTTAAGTACTCCATAAGTGATATCTGCTTCCTTAGATCACTAGTTGATCGAAAAAAAAGTTTATTGCGCGTACTTTAATATTTAATTATTTTTTATTCGCTATGTCAGACAAACTCAACGAACGATATTAATGTGGTAGCATTTGCGGATTACGTCACCAAAATAAATATTTCTAAAGTTATCTGATATCGCGTGTTTATTTTAATTCTTTTAAAATGCATTTCCATGAAAGTAAATAATTTAAAATCAAAGGTAATTGATATGAAAAAAAAATTTGTTACGTATTTAAGGGCAAATGTAATGAAAAAGTGGTACTAATTCGCTTAATAGAAACGTAAAAAATCGCTGTACTATTATTGACGACAATGATGCTTAATTAATGCTGATAATACGCATTTTATTTTATTTTATAACCACCGTTGAATGATCGGGCCAATTATGGGTTTTAATATTTCACTCCATAGCCTTGCAATTTTGAACACAACGCAGGAGATAAGGGAAATTCTCGACTTCGTATTGGGAAAAATACGCCTTCGTGAAGGATTTGTGTTACATGGAGAGGAAATCCACGAATACTTCCCACAGTTAGCCTGACGGCAAGAAGACTCCAACCCATGATACGGCTGCCATTGAAGATATTTTTCGTCTGCACTGTGGTCGGTGCGAACCGGGTGCTGGTCCGAACTATTTTATTATAGATTTATTGGAAGACGGAACTAATAATTCTTCATTTTTTTTTGCCATTGTCTAATTCAAAAATAAAAATAATGCGTACAAACTAAAATCCTATGTGAATTAGTTACTCTAAGGTAAAAATGAAAGCAAAAACCATTTTGTTACATTAAATATGCCTATATTGATGCAACCCCTTCATGCTATTTTCCTTAATTCATAAATACCCCTAAAATATCACTTATTAGGTTCTTCCTCTAAGCTCTTTAATTGTGTTGGTTCATACCTTTCGGTTTTGTGTATAATTTCGAAGTGTTGTCCTGTACTGATTGATTGATTTTTTTTATTCACCCAGTACAAGAGAGGGTATTTAGCTAGTTATCAATAAAAAGTATATAAAATGCGAAACATTTTTATGATTGATCCTTATTTCAGAGTATTTTACAAATTTTTTCACCCTTGTAAGTCTGAGTAGTAGGGATTTACAAAAATAATACATAAAACACAATAAAATTTTATAGTTTATAAACATTTTTGGGGCCGGAATAGCCTGATTGGTAGGGCTCTGGATTCACGTTCTTGAGAGCAGGAATTCGAATCCAGCCGGCCGAAGACACCCTGTGTAGTAAATGGTGACTGGTACACGCTAAATCTGCTGGGATACAAACTCCTCCATGTTCTCATAACAAATTATACCTCTGGAGGTACTGGATTGGAGATTGATCGCTCTCTGGTTCAGGTCAAAATTATGATCTGTGGATGAATGACTAGATACATGAATGCGCCCACCTTATAAGCGGATTTGACGTATGGGTTAGACAGAAGTCAAATTCCTGGCCACAAATGGCGCCGCTGGAAAACAAGAACAATCGCACCCCATACAAAATGAATAATTCAGGTCTTTAATTTGGTATTCTTTCTCCTCTTCTCCAAGTTCAATAAATCTGTTAACTCTTATGAAATTAAGAATAAAATAATATTCATTTTTCATTTAGCTGCCTCTAATGCTTAACACTAGGTTTACGGGACGCGTCATTTTGACGCATTTCGAATTTTATAAGGAAAATTACAAAACCCGTTTGCATTTTTATTTTATCTCTTGTAATGACTTTTATCCATTGATTGAGGTAAATATATATTGAAGTCTATTTTCTTCAAAAGCGTTGAAATATTGAAATTCTCTTTGTTTTATACAATTACAATTTTACATTAACTACAGTATGCAAAAGGAGCATAGGGTATACTTTGTGTTACTTAGACTAAGGCAAAAAGCAACTCAAATAAAGCACAAATATATTACAGAAATGGACATATGATACTGGAGTGTCTGTTCTCGTAACAAGAACCTTCCTCAGTACCTTATCATGAAATGACGATAAAAAAGGAAAGACATAGATGCTTGCAAAGTGGTTTAACCAATAGGGACAGGGGAACGAGCTTGAACAAGATAATAAAAAGAAACGTGATACTACACAAACGTGAGGGAGGTTTGGGGAGAACCCCTGTGTGCAGAAAATTAAATTTGAATAGATTTCAAAACATTCGAAAAGGGTGTGATATATGAAATTACAATAGCATTATATAACATTACAATGTTTGCTTGATAAACAATTTTTTTATAAACATAAGATTAGAAGCTGTTGAAAATTCAAATCGAAAAAAATTGAATAGTATAAATATTGAAGAGTATTGTAATTGATCATAAAAATGATAAAATTTTTCTATATTAAAAAATCGCTAAGGACGCTGCTGTTTTGAGTGTTAAAATTAACGTTGCAATTTGCTTCGCTGAGCAAAACCTACAAGACATAAAAACTTAAAATTACTAAGGGGTGTAGCAAAGTGTACAGAAATTAATACGTAATGAAAAAAATTAGCATTCGATAATTTATACGAGGATTATTAATTGACTATTAAACCTCGATAAAGCACCATAGAGGCAGCTCTACAGGGCACACGAATGCAACTACAGTGGCATGCTGAAAATGTGTTTATGAAAGTAACAGAGTTTTTTTTCGTTATGATTAAGACTTTCAACAAAATGTTACAATAATTGTGTATTTTACATAAAGGTACAATAATTGTGTATTTAAAAATCAAACTGTTTAATGTTTTTGTAGAAAATACTTACATTCAAAAAGAAATAAAGAATGATGAATGAGAAGAAATTACGAGGGTGATTTATTTTAAATAAGTTTTAATTTTCCTCAAAAAATCATATTTGAAGGGTTTTTATCAGGGCTTCTCATGTGGTGTAAAAGTGTCAAAGGCGTAAATTGTTTTAAATTAAATACTAGTTTTACTACCCCGTAAAATCATAAAATTTTTTTTAATCAAAAAGTCAACTTACCCAAACACATTTCCATATTTTTGGCTGAGTTGTTTAAAAGTTTTAAAAGGTAAATCTCCTAGGAATGGTAAATATCCTAACAGTGGTATCCCGCTTGGTCCAGGTGGAAGTTTTTTATTGTTGCTTTTTACATATTTATTAAAATAACTTAACGCAATTAAAGTTATAAGGGAAAACAAAATTATTTCCAATAACAGAATGGTCATATCCATTTTTTTTAGAGAAATCGGAATTTAACTGCTAAGACGAAGTCTAACTCAGCGCAGCACACATTAAGTTACTACACGGATCTTTGTCTGAGACGATGGTTTATCGAAGAAAGTCGAAATGTAAATAATTATATCACGTGTGGTGTCTCTCTGAAGATTTTGATTGACAAGGTTAGATGTAGCCTCCGGTATTATGACGTAATTTTTCTATTGATAGTAAAGGCTCAAGCAAATATTTAAAAAAAACATAACATCAATAAATATAACCTTGACTGACGCAACAATTACAGTTATTACAGTGATAGAACCAGCGAATGAAGTGCCATTTTATTTTATATTCTATAACTGAAGATTTTAGCCACAGTTTCTGCTTGTAATAATTCAGAAGATATAGAAAAATATGAATATTTAAAAAAAATAAAATTCATTATTATTCTGATTTTTATAAAGAGTACTGATTTTGATAAAATACAAAAACTCCATTTAAAAAAGAAATGTTTGCCTATCTAGAATCCTAAACTATCCGACAGAGAGGGTTAAAATTGTCATACTGATAGTTCGAAGTATGGGGAAGGTCACTGTCGACATTTGAACATTCTACTATTCTAATGATTGGTTAATCGTTGTTCTAAATTGAGCTATAGAAGATTCTCTTTTATCAAATAATTTAAAGATAACATCAGTGATATTTGCTAGCTCTATTTGAACAAAAAATATTGTAAGTGATTTAATATTTTTTATTCGCTGCGTCAGATAAGTTCATTCAGCAACTTCAACGTGGTAGCTTGGGGAGACTACGTTACCAAATTAGTATTCCTAAAGTTATGAAAACTATTTATTTTTTGTAATTATTTTAATTTTATTTTGTTTATCTTGTAAAACATATTTTTTAAGATGTAAATAAATTAAAATCAACAGTAATTGAAGTGAAAAAAAAATTATTTTGCATTGAAAGGTGTGAATTGAGCTTAGTTTAATTACGTAAAGCTGCCAGAAAAGACAGCAAATAATAAATTTAAAAAAATGAAATTATATTATTTTCATTAATTGTGATCGGGTTATGTCAAAGCGTCCTAGATAAGGTGGCTTTGGTTATGCTTTTCGACTTTATTCATAATTTTACTTTATTCTAAAACAATTTGAAAACTGTATTTTTGATTAGCTGTGCTATATATTACTTATAAAACTATTATTACAATTGTATAAATTAATATTTTCAATTAACTGCAAGCTTAAATGCAATTAAAAAAGGGGGAGAAAGGTGAAACATAGAAATATAGCCTCATCCGACAGATTTGAGACACATTGCACTGGCATTATTTTCAAAATACTAATTTCTATGTATCGACACTTACTAAAAAATATAGAAAATTAATTTGAATCAATACTCATTTTCATTTAGACAAGACATCAGTTACGTAACTTTAGCTGCAACTGTTCGAAAGTTAAGAAGCTGGTTACAGACTTAAAGCAAACACATTGCATGTTAGTTATCTCAATTATTACTACATTAATAGTGACAATTGCGACATAAAATTAGTGATGACAATATTTATTATTGTTTATAATAAAAGATGTAGAAAAAATACAATCAAAAGTTTTTGCTTTAAACAAAAACATAGAACTGAGATAGTTGGTTGTTTAATGTGTATTGTCTGTATATGTTCTTTAATCCTCTATACAAATATTATATTCTGAAAAGTTACACAGAAGGAAAAACCTATTTGTCTGATTCCGGTGAAAATAATATAAATAAATGAGGGGGGGGGGCTATTGTAAGAGTTTGTTTGAAATTGTTGTATTGTGAATGAAAATATGGAATCTGCAATACACATAGAAAAAATATTACTTTATTCATAAATATCCTTGCTTTAGCGTTGCTGAAAAATTAATGAACAAGAAGTAGTCCCTCTAGTCTCGGGGAACAAATCTTAACTCTTGTCTGTAGGGAGAAAAAGTGAGTCCGACTTCCCCTTCCAGAACTGGAAGATGATCTTCTAATGGAAGAATTTCATATTTTTGAAGAATGGAAACCAGATACCTGAAGATCTCCATCATTGCAATCGATTCTCCCGGACAATTCCGTCGACCTTTAAAGAAAGAAAGACTGTTCTGATATGCTGGGAACTAAATAAGTTATATTAGATTCACTAACATCGTATGTGGTTTCTCAATAAGGTTTGTTCAAAAAGTAATGTCGCTGATTTTATTAGGAAGCAAATACGTGTCTGTTGGAATCGATGAATGGAGCACTCAACTAACGCATGTTTGGTCACTTAGTCATATCTCACCATTGAAAGAGTAAGAGCAGTCATTCCTGAATTCTTTTTTTCAATTCCAGTGCAAGCTATCAAGCTGGATGAATTACCATCAAGTTTTGCGTGAAACTCAGCAAGTCTATAGAGGAAAATTTTCCCTTGATTAAGAAGGCTACTAGTGATAATTGTTTATCGAAATGGCAAGTCTACCGCAAGTGGTTTAAGGCAATTTGTAAAGACAATGTAGAGGCTAATGATCAAGCCGATAGCTTTGGAAGCCATCGATGAGATCAAACCTACAAAAATGTAACGCGTAGAAGCTAGAACTCAAACTATCAGATGAGAGTTCGTTCGATGACACAGACATTAAGCGTTTCGATGTAAATTCTCCTTGACAACGATTTTTGCTGTTTTGCCTTTTTCATTGCCAATTTTCCAGCCAATTAAAGATTCCGATGTTTCTCTGCTGCCTTAAAATTTTGACATCGATCCCCACCAGGCTTCTACTGTTTAGTGGTAAAAAAATTCAATCGAAGGATACCTCTTCGAGATTCGAGAATCACGATTCTGAAAGTTATTCGATAGAAGACCAATCCTGACGTATCGGTGTCTGAAAGATCTTGCTAGAAGTGATCTATCAACTATAAGAAGTTTATGCAAAACATTTTAATGTGTTAATATTCGGCTTGGGGATAATGCTTCTAGAACAAACCCAAACCTTTATCATCGATTAAAACGTGAACATTGTGATTGTCTTGTTGATTATTTAGAAGCCATTATGCAGACACTAATGGGTATTGTGTAAACTGATGAGTCATATTGAGGTGAAAGTGATGGCTAAGAGGGACAAAAGCATGTAACTGCTATCCTGCATAACGGTGCACTATGTCTTTTGCTACATTTCGCTATAGTTAATTACCCACTCACGATAAACAAAGCTGCTTAACGTAGCATAACGTTCCCGCAATATTGCAAAGAAAATATTAACCAAAAAATCATTTAAAAGATATTTTAAAACTGAAAACTAGCTCTGGTCGTTTCATTATATTTTTCCTAAAGGCTTAAGTGTGCAATTAGTGATCGCAAAAGCACGTAACTTTCTATACAAAAAAGATACAAAGTATACAAATTTTTCCTTTTTTTAATATTTTAAAAATATTCAAAGTACTTAGATGGGAGAAGTTCGATGCATTCAACAGTTAAAAACTTTTTTGAAAAACAATGATTACCATTCAACTTAAAAAAAATTTCATTTAAATTGCCTGAAATTGATAACTCAATATTATCAACTACTACTAATAATACTACTATAATTTAGTAGAAAAAGATTGCCGATATAATCTAAAATACTTCCATATTAAAATTAGAGTTCTTTATATTTAGGCAGTAGGCGGGCAGTTTGAGATTTCGACTCCTTATAGTACAATCATGGTTACGACACTGTATTTTGAGCAAAGCAGTGACATAGAATCTGCCAGTGTTATGTTTGACTTTGTGGAGTGAGTAGCTACACTTTTCTATTTTTCGCTTTCTATTTATAGCTTTTTCGATTTTATGTAAATGCCGCATATTGTTGACCTATTGCTAGTTAATAATTAGTTTCTTATAAAAAATGCTCTAAGCAAATATTTCAACAAATTGAGAAAATTACTATATTGTCACTTTCAAGAATAATAATTTGGTTAAAAGCAAAGCTTAATGCAATTATGTCGATTAAAAAATGATTGGCAATCCGAATTTGAAACTGAAAGGAGGAAAAGTAAATGAAGTAAATGAATGCTAAGTCAAAGTCAGGAATTAATCATGGAAAACCTGATTAAAAGGGAATGGTCTAACTCCTGTATCATCCCGTCAAATAAAACAAATAATTTTAAAATCAGGTATAGAATTTCCAAAAAGTCAGATCTTAAAATTCGATTCCTCAAGAATTATTCGACCAATTTGGCTCAAATTTTGTATTTTGATATGCAAAATTCCATTCTTAAATTACATTAGTAAAATTAACATTAAAGGTTCTAAAGTTTGGAACTACCTAATTTGGACCAAACTAAGGGAACCATATTTCCCGGATTACGGTTACTCCTATATTTCGGGGGTTGGAAATCCGAATCCGTCAAAAAAAAAGGTATTTTTATTCAGAGAAAGTGCGTTTTTGTGTCAGATTTCGTACCCTGAAATATCGTCAGCTTCTATTAATTAGCATATTTGTAATTACCCACCTTCCGAGCCATTAAAATTGAGTCCTAGATAGTAAAAATCCTATCATTAGATCAGAAGTTATTTAGGGTGGTCCTTTCTTTAGCACACAGCATATCTAAAAAGCAACTTCTAAAATTATAACTGGAATCAGAATCTAATCTAATAAATTTTAAGTAGAGCTGATAGCTAAGGCGCAATAAAAATTTAGAAGCTTTTCCAAAAATTGTGGAGCAATATCGATTTTATTAGCTTAGAAAATGTAATAACATGACTTAAGTAAATTGAGAAATTTCACACTCTCGCGTTACAAACTTTTATTAATTCTATCCATAAAAATAAAAGGAAAACCTACGTGGTGCAATTTTCTTAAACTTTAATAATGTGATGAATTTAATCATATTTTCATTCAAGTTGAACCATGATACTGTTAAATCAAGTTTAAAAAGGGCGATAATTGTTGTTTAGCACCATATTAAGGTTGAAGCGAATTTGAGGGATATTTTGGTTCAGTACTCTCTAAAATTTCAAACAATTTATGTTTTCACTTTACAGGGATTTTTATTAGGTAAAGTATGCAATTATTATTACTTTTTTAAATTTTTATTTAAAAATAGTGAATTATTGAATGCGAAAAAATAAATACCACGAAACTGTACTGAATAAAAATTTTAAACTTCTAACAGAAAATAAAGGTCACACAATTTACTATGAATTTCAAAATTTTTGTGATGTTAATCCTGAGTTGATAATGGAAACAATAAATTGTATTGAAGTAACATATATATACATGGTTATTCATAATTCCCTCCGCCTGAAAACGCCATTTTTCTTTACTACAACTGACTTCAGTGGTACATGTTACTGCCATCTACCGGCAACTGCTTAAATTAAAACTTGAATACTTCCGGAATAATTTCATATGCTCTTTTTTGCCATATTCATCTTCGTCTTTTAACTATAACGCTTCGAAACTTCGGAGGGAATTATGAATAACCCTGTATATCAATTATATTATGTATCAATTATAATATATATCGATTATATTACATCAATTATACTTCAATTACATAGAAACAAAAAGCTATTATACCTAATGAAAATGGTACGTAGCTTTCCGGCTTCTTTTTATTTAAAGTTCCATCTTCTAAAAGAAATCTTTCCGGCTCAAACTTTTCCGGTTCAGGCCAGTATTTTGGATCATTATGAAGAGCCCATGCATTTGAAATGACAAAAGCTCCTTTTGGAATGTGAAAATCTTCTATCTTTGTGTCTTCTCTTGCCCTGAAGAATTTAAAGTCAAATGAATTGGGGTTTGAAATTAAACCATTTCAAGTTCATCATTGAAATCCATATTTAAGTAACTAGATGAGTAATTTTAATAAAATAAGTTATAACGTTACGGGTTATAGATTTATTATAGATATTAACGATCTTCTAAACTAAAAATAGTCTGTTTGATTATAGTATAATTACTTAAAATAACTTAATGGGAGGAACTGTGGTGGTTCAGAGAATAAAGGGCTTGCCTCTTAATGAGGTGTCCCGGGTTCAAATCCCAGCGATGGCTGGTCGATGCGAATTCCGCATCTGTTTCGCCCCAACCACAGCGCTGACGTAAAATATCCTTAGTGGTAGACGGATTTAGGGTTACAGCTCCCTTGCCACCAAGTTGACCATAAGAGGTATTCGTGCTTTTTTTCCTCGTGTGACATAAATGCGGATTAGTCGCATCAGAAGTCCTCCACGATTGCAAATTTCTCCCAATACTTCATACAGGAGCTTCTTTGTCTTCTGGATAGGGTTCAAAATTACAAGGCGATGGAGTTGAACATTGGTTGTAGCCGTAAAGTTGTTGGACTGGCTGTTTAAAGACGGTTATAAAAATAATAGACAAAAATACGATGAGAGGAGAACAGCAGTAGCTCAAGCGCTTACCTCCTAATGAAACGCCCCTGGCTCGAATCTCATCAATGGTTAGTCGATACTGTTATTGAAATGGAATTCAGAGATCAGTGGATCGGAGAATGACATAATTATTAGTACATTAAACAGTTAGTAATACATTTGGAACGTACAGTGGGACAGGACGAATAGGGAAAAAAACATCTGAGTTAAGAATTAATTTGTATTCATAGCCTTTTAGGGGCAAACTTAGCGTCCACTCAAGAGTATTTTGATTGCATGCAGACGCAGAAGAAAGCTGCTTCAAATAAATGCAATTAGAGTATTTCTACAACAAAAACAAATTCTGCTCCCAGCTAATACCGAACAAGGCGCTGACCTAAAGTACCCTCAGTGGTTAGAATACAATTGCTGTCTGGTTAACCATGGGAGGTTTTGAGATTTTCTTCAAGTAACGCAAATGCGGGCTAGTTCCATAAAAAAGTCATCCATCAAGGCCAGTTTGCCAAAATGCTCGATTCAGGAATTTCCTTGCCTTCTGAGTTTGGTTCATTAAACAAGACTGTGAAGTTGAACATGATATTTAACCATAAAAAGGGGTAAGCTGTTTAATGCCAATAATAAAATAAAATGGTAGAGTAAATAATGGCGTTAGAGTTTTCCTCAGTTTAAACATAACTTAAATATGGCTCAAACATATTTTCGGGTGGAATATTTCTAGAATGTAAAACCGTATTCAAAAAATTTATTCCTGACGTTAAACGAGGCAACGATATGATAGTTTTCTGATTTATTCCTGTATAGCGAAACGATGGAAACAATTACAATAGTTTTTTTACATCAAGCCACTTAACATCTCTGGTTACGTATAAAATGCAAATTAGTTGATTTTGCATTTCGGCTCTACTCAATTATTCTCAACTGTAAACGTATGAAGAAAATAAAAATTGGTTAGACGGTTGCCAATTTTTATCATCGCAAAATCCAGCAGTGCGTTTAGTTGTTAGAGTTTCCAAGGAAATAATGGTCTAATATTTCAAATAAGCTGAAAAAAAATTTAAATGCCATGATTATATTTAACAGTTTGCAAGAGATGCAAGAATGAGGTTGTACCTATGCGAAAGTCCTAATGGTGATACGGTTCTCCATCGTTGACCTTCCATTACTGTAGCGTAAGCGTAAGGAAGCTTTTTTGCATCAGACCATCGACATTTTCCATCTTTACCTAAAACTCCTCGTATCTCATCCCGGCAATTTTTTTGAACTTCGGGAAAAGACGCCATACTGACAAATAACCACAGCAGGGACGTTCTGATCGTTTCACTACCGGCATGTATCATAGCTTGAGCATTAGCAATAAGACTATTTACTGCAAGGAAAGGAAATTGTGAAATAATTAACTGAACTGTCAATCGGCACGTTTTTGTTAATGATACAAATTAATGAAAATTACGATGTTTTATACAGTCCAAACAATGTATGAAAAAAATTATACTGGCTTAAGGATCTGGTTTCTAGTGATGTAGTAAAATAGAGTTTTTAGAATAAAATCTCAAATGAACTTAGATATTTATTTTCATTATAGATCTTGTATCACAAGAGCACCTCATGGCTTTTTTATTCAACACAGGAAGATTAAAATGTAAATATTTCCTGTTTTTTCATTAAAAAAATCAATTAACAAATATCAATATCAATTAAATAATAAGAGGTTTCTGATGCTTAAGCATTACAAGACAGAATTCTTTAGAAGATTATTCGCAAAATTTAATATTTATTTTTTAAATTTTCTAGTGTTTATTATTCAACTTCCTATATTTTACATAATAGCTTTTACATAATAGAAAGTACATCACTTGAATCAGCTTGTTAGGATACTTATTTATCGGCCTTCGTTAAATTTAATGTGCTCAACTCAATTAATGTGCACTCGCAGGTTGTTGGGCTACCAAAGCGGATGAGATATATCCCTTCTGTAGAGGATCAAAACTGTGATGACATGTCCTCGGATCATCCTCAGGTATGTTTCACAGAAAGTCACCAATAGCCCATTGTGCAGTTCTAGTGTGACGTAAATAAAGTACTACCACTACAAAAAAAAAGGTACCACCACTACTTAAAATTACTTGTGTTTGATTTTTCAACCCAATGTAGTTCTCTGAGTATAAAGTTCATTTTATAAATTTAATGTTATAAATAAATATTTAATTTGGGAAGATTTTTTTTAAATTTATTATTATTTTTCACAATATACCTGGTTTTATCCAACCAGATAAGTTGAAACCAAATGTTAGCATATTTTCAAAAGATAAATTCACATTTCAAAATAAATAATATTTATTTTTTTGGAATTAAAAAGCTAATTAAACATTCAAATATATATGTAAGCAATTTCCTAAATATAGTTGTGTTGTAAAAAAAAAAATTAAAGCTGGTTTTTAAAGCTATTAGCGTTTTTAATAGAAACTGATTTTGGTTATTTTTTGCTCAATCTAAAAATGGCATTAAAAATTCCAAGATGGCAATTTAGAATGCATGCAAAATTGTTTCTGGTTAGTCCTTTGATTTACTCATTGCCTACATTACCAGAGAAATTGCTTTCTTCGTTTTTTTCTTCCAATGACTTCATTAGTTTCAAGTATCCATCGATGAAAACTAATTCTTCTGAATTTTCAAAGTTCGATTTTCTTAATTCTACTTCTTTTCTATAAATGTAAATGAATTTCAGCATTGAAAATGATAATATGAGCTTGAATATATATATATATATATGAGAATAATATATATCTTATAGTAATATAAGAAGAGTAAAATGATCACAAATAGCCAATCACAGAACACTTGCGGTTAGTAACAAACAAAACAGCCAATTAAAATTGAGAACGCATGTGTGTGAAAAGGTAATAATTTTTAATAATGCTTCTCGCCAAAATGTTACAACTAAACTTACCATCTAAAGCTGAGTGGATCCAGTTTTTCCTCATTCATTTCATTATGGTTTTGGTTGTGATCAGTATAAAATTAACAAAAGTTGTAAAGATATTGCTTTCCTTTAAATATTTTTGTATCCTTAATTTAAAGTTATTTTCCAGTACTGCTATTATTAGCGAAAACGTTAATTTATGGTTGTAAACTCATGAAATTTGTTTGGACAATGTAATGTTATAAGAATATAAATGTTATTTTAAAAAATGATTACTTCGAAAAATCGCTTCCGTTCACCAAGAGATCTAAATGTTTATAATACTAATAGATAGTAATATTTGGACGTNAAATTGTTATGAAGCCTTTCTTGCTCTTCTCTGATTCTAATTGATTTTTAACTTTCTAGGCAGTGATGTTAATTTTTGCAAAAATGTTTAACTTAAATAACAAGTAAATTAAAAATCCTGTTTATGTATTATTTTATTCTGAAATATTTGTGTTCACTGATCTTGTTGTACTGTTACCCAGAAAGCTTTGGTTATATATATATATATATATAATGCATATGCTGAAAATTTTATGCTTACCTCATAAAATCATATAGCTTCTTCATATTGTTATACGGAATTCTAAGTTTTGAGAAACCAGTTTTTGCCAAAAACTTCATGAGATCTGGGAAAAAGGTTACCGCTCCAGCCTGTCCAAGTGCTGAAAGACCATCTACTGCTTCGTTTATCATTTTAATCTGAGAATCACCAGTCGGTATGCGTCTTCCCAAAACCATGCTAGTCATGTTATTTGATACACTGTGAGAGAGGTAGTCATGCAAATCAACTGGTTTTCCATCAAATTCAGATATACTTTTGAGAAAACTTTCAATTTCAGCCTACAACATTACAGCGTTTACATGCGTTAGTATACATGCGTTAGATTTGTAAACTAATTAAAAAATATGGAAGAACAGTAAAAAGATACTTTTTTTCAGTTATAAAAGAAATTTATATGATATTTGCTTCCTAGAAAACCAACTTATCAGATTTCAATTTTACTTAAACCTTTGTGAAATAGTTGTTAAAACGCGAATGAGAGGGAATCGCCAAGTCCTGTTTATACGGCCAGTCCTGTCCTGCCTGTTTATACGCCCTATTCTGTGTAACCAAGTCCTGTTTTTACAGCCCAAATTCTGGGACCAAGAGTGATTGAAATTTGTTTTGTTTGGATCATGTAAACGATTATCCGTGCTCTTGGTCTAAGCCCTAGGATAATAGTAGAGCATGTTCTATTTTTCAACATCCAAGTGACGGTTACTTTACTCTACTTCAAGTAGTGTAAAAAAACATTGTCCAGAAATACTAGAACTAAGATATTTGCATGGCGTTACACTACATCACTTTCGTGTAAAGTAGTTGCTACCATTTCCGAGGCGGAAGTGTCCTAAAAAACTTTTATTAATGGGACGAAACATAAGTCATCAATGTGAGATTGACATGCCTTTAAAAATGAAGAAATTTTTAACTTACATCTAAATCGTCTTCCCATCTTGTTTTCCCCATACCTATATCTTTTATGACTCTCATAACATACCGTCGCTCTTCAATCCATTCCTTACCATTGCTTGCAACAAAACCTTTGAAATATAAGAAAAAAAGAATTACGTAGACAAGTTTAAGCAAAATTTAATTTTGTAGCATATTAAGTTGAAAGTTGAATAGCATTTCAGTTGAAAGTAAGTAAAATGCAAATATTAAAGTAGAAAAATTGTAAAAAAAAATTTCCATATTAAAAAGTTGAAAAAACATCGCAAAATCTCGTTTGGGAGTTCAACTTTTTATTCTGGTATGCAAAATGTATAAAGTCATTAACTTGAAATTACGATACAGAGTTCCTTCACATAAGTTGGAATGTTAATTAACTATAAGTTAATTAAATACACAGCTGTATCGCACATCGAATTAATTGAAATATAATTCTTTCTCATCGACTTCTTTTATTTAACTTAGATTTATTATTTGTCTATGTATTTTATTGTAATCGTAATATATTTTTGTTTTGTGTACCTGGCAAAATTCAATGCATATTTTTTTGTTTGTGTTGTACATGGTTTCGTGCCTGTCTTTGTGTTAAATTTCTGCGTAAATATATAGTGAAAGAATTGAAATCTTAGAGAAAGAGTCTTTGTGAAAGAATTTAGAACGTGTTATTCAAGAGAATTGATACTTGACGGGCTAAGCTCTCGAAATAAAATGGGAAGTACAGTTGTGAACGTAAACAAATGCCACGTTTCTACAACCAATCAGGATCGAGACCCATGCTACGTCACTTACAGGTATCCCATTGAAATTTCCAGAACAGTTATTCAATTCAATTTTGTAGACTTGGATTAAGAATGGAAAAGTTTCGATTTTATTTTCGAACGTCTCAAACTCCCTTGTTTATATTATTGTTCTAGTAACATAAGTTTGTTAGATATTTTTTAATCAATTCCTTCGATAAGATATAACTTTTGAAGCTTCAAATCTTTGAACATTATTTTTATTTATTTTATTCAGTCAAATTTAGTGGTTAGCTTAGGTAGCATCATTGTCGTATTAAGCATACTTTTGGCCGTTTCAGATAAATCTTAATTTGGAAAGATTGTAGGGATATTTATCTCAGAAAAATGAATAAAATCGCTTAGGAAAAACTTATTTATTAGGTAAATATAAAATAGAATATGACCACATTCAACAGTATAAAAATTAAGAAAAGAAGTCTCTTAAAGGGATCAAGAAAATCATTCTCTTCACATCGAGAATATTATGTGAAGATTAATTATTCAATGGTTGGGACTGACAAATTCAATCGCCAATAATTCCAAATTGAAAGTAAATCATGTCATGTCATGGGAAGAGATCCATGGTTGACGATTTATCGAAAGATAACAAAGCCAAAAATAAAGCCAACCCCCCATAATTAATATTAAATTTGAAAATAATTTGGCGAAAGGGAATCGCTAAAAAGACTGAGAATTAGTATAACCATGTAACTGAAACATATTTTGCAGTTAGAAATAAAGAATAAAGAGTTATAAATAGATTTTTGTTTTCGATTTAGTCGCGACAGTAAATTAATGAGTCTTACATTAGTACTGAAATAAAAAGTTAGCCGTTACATTGATTGTGAAGAAAAGAATTTAATATTTTATATTCGCTTTTTGAAATGCAATAAAATTAAACAATTGGTTTAATTTAATCAAAATTCGATTAAGAATGATTAAAAAAAATAAGTTAAAGAAATTAAAGAAATTTTAAAAGCTTGGAAATACATAATGTATATTGTGGCATCACATTATTATTTCTTTAAAAAAAAATTACGAATACTTACCTAAGCCACCCGGATGGAAATCAAAAAATTTTGGGGGTCTGTCAAGAATTACTGGATTAGAGAAAGCGTCTTTTACTGATTCATAATTGTTGAGTACAACAACATAACTTCTTCCCATATATAGCCTGTAAAAATATCTATTCAATTTTATTAGATTAAGAAAAAAAGGTTTTGAAACCAGAACTACAATTAAAATATTGATATTGTTAACCCAATCAGTTACAAATATTTCAATTATATTTCATCAAATCTGCAAAAATCTATTGAAATCAAAATTTTTAAGGGGTTCCAATCCAAATTATTCGAAAATCCTACATTGTTATGTACGTTAAAATTAGTATTCCAATTTAGCTTAACATACAAATATTTTTGCAGAACAATGCTTAACTCAAAATGCTTCGAGTTACCTCAATTCGCTATCGCAACGAACTATAGGGGGCGTTGTTGTATGAGACGCTTACCTGCGAATTTTGTCAAGATTATATTACACATCATTATTTTAATTTCAAGATTAATGAACAAAGCCTAAATTAATTTAAATTTGATTAAAAATTTAAAATACTAAAGTTTATTAAAAGATGACAAATGATTTTTATGGAAAATTGCCTTTACGTTCGTTCTTTTTTAATTGCGATTTTTTGAATTCTTCGTGTTCAAAAACTTTTTAATCGATACAATTTTATTGGAACCAAGGCTCGAAGAAACTCAGAAATTTTACCCGTCCCCGATGACGGCTTGTTCAACAATGTACCCTCCTCCTTTGAAACTAACCCGTAGCTTCGAAATAAATAAAAATATAATTTTCTCTTATTTATTGAAAACATTTATATAAATTGCACAATGAATTAGTAGTTACTAGGATTGCAAGTACTAGGATTATATTATACAGTAATAAAGGAAATACTAGGTTACTAATAGTAACCTAGTATTTCTTTTATGAAATAGCTTATTTCTTTTATGAAATAATTTAAATGACAAAGGTCAAGTTATCTGGAAAGTCAATTTATCCGAGGGTACTGCGTTTCTTAAATGAATCAAATATGACGTTTGCCAGTTCCACAATCGAGCCAATGATTTACAGAGGTTTCTGCACAGAAATCTGAAAGGGGTTTTCCATTTATGTTTTTGTTCATAATTGCGTTTAACGCTTCTTGTTTAAGACCATTGCACAATGTGTTTTTTTGTAAGTTCATTGCTTAAAAGCCCCTTCAACCACTGCAGTACTCCCAGACAGAGAAAACATCAATTCTAATAACAAAAATTGAAAAAGTATCACGAACATTAACGGGAAAATGGCCGTCAGCGCGGACGTCGGATTCGAGAAATTCGTTTTCCGCGGGGAATTTTTGATCGCCGAGAATGGGCGGACGGGCGGTTTTTAGAGCCCTGATTAGATCAATTTCTAAGAAATTGCGGTTAAATCAATCTTTATATAGTTTAATGTCTTATTCTTATTGATATTCCAAAAAAATATTGAAGTAAGTTTTGAGAAATTGGCTATGTGTACAGAGAAAAAAAAATCTTTTTCGATTTTGATTTGTACCTTTTAGCAATATTCCAATCAATAATCAATCAACATTGTAAGCAATTTTTGAGAAATCAGCTTATATGCTGTGAAAAAAATTCCATATGAATTTTGATGATGCATTTTTATTGACATTGCAACCATAAGTCTGACTGAACTTGATTGTCAGAAATGAATAATTTTTGATACTGCACAATGCTATTGATATGAGTCAATGGCTAAGTGTTTTATAAATTGTAATCCTTATTGCAAACTTCATCGAAATTTCAAAAATGATTCATTTCTGAAGTTTTCAGATTGAAAAAAAAAATATTGGTTTAGAACTCTGAGTGGAACAACGCATTCTAA